CCCAACTCACATTCCCTATTGGTGGTCTAAAGAAGAACAAGCCATTTGGTCTAGTTGCGAAGTGGTAGGCATGCAAAAAAGTTTAAAAACTTGCTTCAGGTTAAATAATGGTAACCAAATAGGGTACCCATGAAACCTTTACGCTTTACCAACGGGCAACATAGCTATTCTCAGTAACTTTATTTCTTCTTTTTTTTTTTAATGATAGTGGTGTTCGGACCACCTTGCACCCCCTCGACTATTCCACCAGGTACCTGCTCGGTTGCTACCTCCCACCAATAGAGACACTGATTAACTCTGACTACCAAGACTTGTCCAGATGCGAAGAAATCGTCGTGCTTTTTGCCTCCAATAGCTCATGGTTTTCCACCTACTTCATTGACCACTAGGCTACACCCTTGAATGCTAAACAACTGGTTTAGCATCTTGTACGGCATCAATTAAGTATGTTTGAAGTATCACATTTGCTTACAACAAAAAAAAGTTATGTTTGAAGTATCTCGTTTGGATTAAAATTTCACTTTGTTTTCACGCCTGTACGCATGAGGATTACTTACTTCTAGTTGTTTTACATAGTTTCCAAAAATTACAATTTCAGTTAGTTACCAAAAACTTTGTTTCCCAATCCTTTTCTAACTAGGACTAGGAGTAATTACTACACACCATTTTCCAAATATTCCATTAAAAAAGTTCCCAAAATTGTTTTCCATTACCTATTATATACAAGTCGCCGATACAACTGAGTATTTGGGTGTCCGCATCAATTGGGAAACTGCAATGCTGATAATCCTAGTGTTGCTCAAGAGATGGAATTAAACATCGAGAAAGATGATATTTTGATGGTTGGGACGGACGGGATGCTTGATAATATGAATGATAGTGAAATTGAAGAAATTGTTCGGAGAGCGATCAACCAGAATTTGAAAGCAAGGGAGTTGGCTAAGAAAATTGTTAACGTTGCATTGTACAACTCATTTGATAGATTTGCAGATACACCATATGCAAGAGCATCTAAGGGACGACATAAAGGAGGAAAAGTTGATGATATTACTGTTATTGTTGCTTATATACAATAAAAATAAATTCAATTTTGATGTAATAGAAAAATAGAATGTATTTGTTATGTTGCCTATTATGAAGTACAAAATGTAATGTGCAGACTTTATTGTATAATAGAAATGTTATATTTCAGATTTCATCGTAGTTTGGAACTACTCTGCGATATTGGTATTTCATAAATTTGCAAGATTTATTAATTCAAGAGAACACACTATTCCAGGACGCACACTTTCAAATTATTACTCTTGATTTCTAGTATTTACTGTTGGAAAATATCACAGCTAATGAAATTACTGTAATAGTGAATGTTGGAGTCCCACACCGGTGGGTTAAGGGTTACTTGGTCTCCTTATACGGTCTTACAATCCTCCCCTGATGAGCTAACTTTTGGGGTTGAGTTAGGCCTAAGGTTCATTTCTTTATCATGGTATTAGAATGACGTCCATCCTAATTCATTGTTTCCAATGTCCCCCCCCCCCCCCCCCCCCTCTTTTATATTATCCACGCTCTAGACTAGAGCAGATCTAGCCCTTGAGGTATGGGTTCACGGGAATGTCCTGCTCATTGTTTCCAATGTCCTGCTCTGCATTGCGCTGGTAGGAGCACTGAGAGGTAGCAAGTGCGGTGGAATAGTAGAGATGTGCCCAAGAAAGCAATACTAATTAGTAAAAATGAAATTTTATTTTAGTACCTTCTATCTCTCCAGTAGCGCACCTCTATCCCTTTCTTCACAGGATTCCTTCCCTGGATGATTATCACTCACTCTCTTCTGTTTCTTCACGATGACTTTTCAGAGAAATATGATGAAGTTTCTTATGCCTTCATTGACATTTTCTGCTTCAGTAAATGCAACCTCTCCTTCACTCTCAGTATCTACACCTGTTGAGCTTCAATTTGTTGAACACTATACTTTCACCTCTTGAATTCGATATATTTTCAAAGACCTCTACGAGAAACTTCTGCTGCAAACTTTTTAACTGATTTGTTCCCTTCAGTAGTATTTTCAGCTTTTCGCAGTTTCAACTTCGACTTCTTTATGAAATGCTGAATAGGTTAAACCTTGAAGACTCCCACATTTGTTTTTGGCATAAGCTATTCCGCATATTATTCTAGGCTGGTTCTTCTTCCTTCTACAATTGTTGCAAAATCAACAATGTAATAAAAAATTCCCAATCTTATCATTAGTTTCATAGTCATCCGTCAATACCTCAAAAGGCTCATCTATAAATTTCTTTTTTTACTGTTATCCCCTGGTAGAAAAAGAGCATTTTCATGATCTTTAAAGGATTTTGAGAATGTGCCAGAGTTGAAGTTTCAGGGTCTGGCCCTATTTGATCAGTTTTCTTGACATGTTGATCAAGTAGAGCTGATTGAATCTCCAATACCAACACTAAGGAATCAAGAGATGCATGAGCAAACAAATTACGAGGAACCTGTCATCAGTTATAGTTGATTGATCTCCAATTCCTTCTCCTTTCCTGTCATGAAATGAAATGAAATGTTGACATAAAGGAAGAGCTGCACCAGCAAGAGGATAAAGAGAAGTCCTAGAATCACTGACTAGACTTCTCCGAACATATAGCGAAATAGAAGACTTGGAAGTGTTCATCAATCATATTGAACGGTGCTATAGCCATGCACTATAATTATCTTTGATATCAAGAATATTTGTCCTGAAATACACCCAGACAAAACATCATATAGATGAGTACCAAGTGCTTGATAAAACAATTACTCCTTCGCTTTCAATTTAAGTGGCATAGCAACTCCCTCTTGTCGATAGGACGCAGAGTTTAAGAAGAAAAGAAAAAACTTTTGAAACATGTGGTGTTAAACATGTCATAACATTTGTGTGGCCATAAAAGCTTCTCATAAAGGATAAAAATGATAAGTTCAGATTAAATAGTTTTCAAATTAGAAGCTGCCTTTTTATTTTGAAGGAACGGACTAAAAAGCAAATGTTGTCACATAAAACTGGAATGGAGGGAGTATCATTCATATAGTATTTGCCGCAATACTATTATCTAAGCAAGAGGGTAAATCTGGACAGAAGTAGTCATTTACTAATGGTCCATGGAAGGGAGAATTATCGATTGTGCCCTCAGGGCTTAGATGCCCTTTCCTGTGTGAAATTATACATTGGATGAATCTCTTATTGGAAGATGAGATAATTACCAGTAAAATCAAACCACGTCTCAGCTTGATAGCAACTAGTTACATAGGTCAGCAATTATAGAGCTCAAGAGAGAGAAACAAGGTAGATTGGCAGCAGGATTCAAACAATTTATACTTTGGTACCAAATATATCATGCCAAAGATGCAATAGCATTACAATTTATGATGATAGGAGGATATGGGACTAGGCTAATAGTAACTTCTTAGTAGGGGTATGCAAAGACTAATTTAACCGATAAACGGAACTGAAAAAAAATGTTATTGGTTTCTAGGCGTTGTTGTTTTCTTTATGAAGCCATTAGTTTGGTAAGGTACTACCCATCAATGTAAACTATGAACTAGACATGTTTTTCTTTTTGAGAGATTGCTAAAATGTTACTGTATCCAAGTTTGCTACTTGACCATAAAGAAAACAAGTTTGTTTTAGCAATAACGCATTTGAATTTGCTTCTGCATGTAGTTTGTGTAGAATTTATGCATGAAGCCCGTGTATATATGAAAAATTGCAAATAAGGAAGAACAAAAATATTAGAGGAGCATTTTTTCAATGGTTAAGCCAAAAATCGAACTGTCAAGGACCAAAAATTGATTAACCGAAAATTGTTAACAAATACATTATTGGTTTGGTTATCGGTTTAGCGTGTTTATAAATCGAAAAGAACTTTCAAGGATCAAAAATTGATTAACCGAAAATTGTTGACAAATACATTATTGGTTTGGTTATCGGTTTAGAGTGTTTATAAATCGAAAACCGATAAACCAGACTGGACATAACCGACCAATAAGCACCACTACTTCTTACTTTAGTTACAGACAAGGAAAAACTTGTGTTGACGATAAAAATGATATGACTGAGCACTTTTGTAAGTTCTATAATGCATAAAAAACTTTAAAAGTGCTATATATTTGGGACAGTTTAACAAATTAGCACCGCATGGAAATCGAGTAATGTTATATTTAAGCTAACATTCCAACTCCAGGGGGTTGAGGGTGTCAGTTCATTATTTATTTTTTTATGACAAGGGAAACCTGCAGCCGCTACCCTTTGGGTGCACAGGGTAAAACCCCCGCTCCTATGCAATAGGTCGCAAACCACATAGGAAAGGTAACTCACACTAGGTAAGTCTGGTGCGACGAGCTCGGCCCAGAAGGCAAACTCCTTGCTTTCGTTGGCAAGGGGTTTCGAACTTGAGACCTCCAACATGGAAGTCCCAAGCCCAAACCACTGGACCACCCCGAAGGGTGTGTCAGTTCATTATTAGCAACACTAATACTGGTCTTCAACCATTACAGGTTCCAACAAACAGATGTAGGTAATTTGGAACATACTATCGGTGAAATACACTGTGCGCAGAGTTAAAGTATGGAAACCAGATGCAAACCTTATGCTGTGGAACATTCTCTTTGCCTATGAAGATAGGAACTTGTTTTAACGAATGAGGTTTTGCATTTCACATTCGCTTGCATCTCATATGTGGTGACTAATCTTCACATAAATTGGTTGTTCCCAACTTCATTAGACCTTGAGAAAAGGCAAACAAAAAGAATTAAGAATGCTTATATCATTATGCTGAGCAAACCTTGTCGCTACTGTCTAGTTAAGAATTTGAAAGAAACAAAACAACAGATTCTGAATGCTTTCTATTCTAGCACATGAAAAAAATTACTTCACTATCATATTTACATTAGCCAACACATTATCTAGCACAGGAAAAATCCCTTCACTACTATATGCTACTACCAAAAAAAAAGAAAAAGCTGAAAAAAGATAAAGAACACATATTTCAAACATTAGCCTCCAACATGTTACGTTTGCGCTTACAACGCTGATGGTCCAAAAGGGGTGAATAATGCAAAGGATAGACAGCTCGACAAGTTGGGCAAGTGTTGTTCTTGGATAGCCATGGGAAGAGACAGCTTGTATGAAACATGCGTGAACGACAAGTTGTAATCACTTCATTCTCGTCTTTAAGCTCTTCTTGACAAACAGGGCAAGTCTCATTCATTAGATCTTTGATGCTAATAGCTGGACTTGAACACCAAGATCTATAACATGGAGGGACTTCGACAAATCCACTGGCTACATCCGCCGCAATGGGTGGTTTCATTGGACAACCCCCACCTTCACCCGTATATTCCCTTAACATGTCAAGATACTCAAGGACATCCTCAGAGTATTTACAAAATGGATCATTCCTATCATCAGCAGCACTCACATTGCGCACATTGACAACCCCCTCCTCTTCCCTATCGTCATTCTCAAACCGGCGATACAATGGAGCATCAGGAGGATACCCTGTGAAATTGGGGGACGCGTTAAGATCAACTTTATCAGTAAAATTGACACAGCGAGTCTGGGAGATTTCAACGACGACTACGTAAGTCGGCCTTGGCAGTGGCAGTAAAGCTTGAGAATCTTGAAACTCAGTGAAAAGGCAAAAAGAGATGTCATCCCCCAATTGTTTGATAGTTTGCGGCAGAAACTGAAGAGTAGCAGAAACAAGCAAGGAACCCAATGACGTTTCTCTGTTCCGTAGCTTTGACAGATCAAAAGGGATGACAGTAGAACACTTCTTCTCATCAAGTGTGTAGCGACTGTACTTAGATTTATAACAACCACATTCACAAGGGTGAAACATCATGAATGTACTTCTGATTATGAACAAGCATAAGCCTTCAGACTGTGAAATCTGGTTCCTCGCTAGCTTTTCGTTCCTTAAGAAAAGCCGAAGTGACTTGCAGTCAGCAGTTTCAATGATTCTCTCCATTGAAACTTGTTGATTTTGCTTATCAGAATGCAGAGATAAGCACTAATGGAGAAATATTTATAAAGCGTTTAGCTTAATGAAGTTTCCTAAAAAGGTACTTGTATATTACACATATGCACAGTCAAGTTAATCCTAAAGTTGTTCTAATCCAAGTTCCATAAAAAAGGATTAACTTGTCCCATACCAACTTGGATGGCCCATCATACACTCCCTGACCACTTTATTTGTCACATTTTTTATTTACATGTTACTTAATAAATTATGTGTTTTAATTGTCATATCCTTATTTATTATTTTTAATTATTTAAAATATTAATCTCTCTTCAATAAATAAAAGGCGAGTTAATCTAAATAATCACAATATTGGATTAAGTGTATATGTTCTTCACTTATGTTTGTCGATGTTTATAACTTTCAAAAATAATTATTACTAAGGGCAAAATGGAAAGAATGTACTCAATTATATCTTAGCTTTCTAAAATGACAACTATTTTGGACTATATATATTTAGGGCCCGTTTAGCCAAGTGAGATGAAATCATGATTTGAAATCATATGAGATGACGCTAAGTACCAAATGCTTGATAAAACAATTAGCATTCTCTTTTTTGAGATAAAATATTAATTTGAAGTATCAAATGTATAGTGTAAGCAAGAGGCAAAATCTGGACAGCAATGTCCTTCTATTGATTGATCCTTAGAAGGATAATATTGTAGTGTTGCCCCCATAAGCAGACATTGATGCCCCTTCTATGAAAAATATCAATGGTTGAATCTGTTGTTAAAAGATAAGACATTTACAAGATAAAATCATACCCCCTCCGTTTCAATTTAAGTGTCTTAGTTCAATTGGACATGGAGTTCAAGAAACTTTAGAATCTTGTGGTCTTAAATTAAAGATGTGCGTAGTCCTTTAAATCTTGTGTCTTAAACTTGCCATGTAGAATGTTGAAATTGGAAAACTTGTATATATAGAAAGAGACACTCTTTTTGGGACAAACCAAAAAGGAAAGTAAGACACTTGAATTGGGATGGAGGGAGTACTGCATTCCAGCTTCACAGTAACCAATTACATAGATAAGCCATTATAAAGCTCAACAGAGAGAAACTATACAGCTTAGCAGCTGAATTCCAGGAGTTTATACTTTAGTACCAAATATATCATGGCAAAGATGGGATAGAATTAACTGCAAAGCTCAGGTCAAGTTAGTTTTAACATCAACGACCATGACTCAGGGCTCATCCAGACTCTATTAAACTTGCACTTTAACCATCCACTATAACTTTCATATGATTAAAATGAATTGTTTAAAAAACACAGACTTGTGATGATTGGAAAAAAACAGTTTACACAGAGTTAAAGTAATCAAAAGCAGATGCAAACCTTATACTGTGGAACGTACCGTTTGCATATGAAGATAGGAACTTGTTTTGACACATGAAGTTCTGCATTTCACATTCGCTTGCATCTCAAATGCGGGGACTGATCTTCACATAAGTTGGTTGTTTCCAACTTCACTAGACCTTTAGAAAAGGCAAACAAAAAGAATTTAGTTTGCTTATATCATAATGCTGAGCAAACCTTGTCACTACTGTCTAGTTAAGAATTCGAAAGAAACAGAACAACCAGATACTGAATGCCTTCTAGCACATGAAAATCATTACTTCACTACCCTTCGGGTGGCCAGTGGTTTGGACTTGGGACTTCCATGTTGGAGGTCTCAAGTTCAAAACCCTTTGCCAGCGAAAGCAAGGGATTTGCTTCTAGGTCGAGCTCGTCGCACCGGGTTTGCCTAGTGCGGGTTACCTCTCCTATGTGGTTTGCGAGCTATTGCTTAGGAGCGGGGTTTTACCCTGTGCGCACCCAAAGGGTAGCGGCTGTGGGTTTCCCTTGTCATAAAAAAAAAAAAAATCATTACTTCACTATCATATTAACATTAGCCAACACATTATCTAGCAAATGAAAAATCACTTCACTACAATATGATACTACCAAAAAGAACACATTTTTCAAACATTAACCTTGACAGTCCACAAAAGGGTGAATAATGCAAAGGATACACAGCTAAACAAATTGGGGTAGTGTTGTTTATTGGGAAAATCCCAACTTCACCCGTATATTCCCTTTTAACATGTCAAGATACTGAATCAGCAGCACTCACCAGGAAGATACCCAGTGAAACTGGGAGAAGCATATTCTTGAAATTCAGTGAAAAGGAGAAAAGAGATATCGCCCACCAACTGTTTGATAGTATGCGGCAGAGACAAACACGGAACCCAATAAAGTTTCTTTGTACCGTAACTTCGGTAGATCAAAAGGGTTGCAATAGAATACTTCTTCCCCTTATTTGTATGGTTTTCACGACAAGATAAAATTTGGATGGTTGTTACTATTATTTCGTAATATATCGTACTGGACTGCGTTGTAATGTGTTGTTGTCGTTATAGAATGTTACACATTCATAATTTGAATGATAAATCTACGAGAAAAGTAAGGTTTGCGTAGAGCTATTATGGAAATGTAAGGTAAAAAGATGAAATGTAATTATTAAATAATAAATAAAGACAAAATGAGAAGAAAATACTAAGGTAATCATGCGATTGCCAAATCGGTCGTTACATAAAATAGGTTTTTTCGTCGTTACCTAATGATGAACTTAAATGATATTGATACAATACAATAGAATTTAAGTAATAATTCAAACAAATATTGTACTTAAACTAACAATACAATACAACGAGTAACAACCATCCAAATAAGGTGTAAGGTAATAATGTGATCATATCAAATCGATCGTTATACAAAATGAGATTCTTCTTCGTTATCTAACAATAGATTTAAATGATACGATATGATTATAGAATTTAAGTAGCAATCAAAATAAACATTGTATTTAAATTAACAATACAAAAATATACATCAAGTAACAACCATCCAAATAAGGTATTAATGGCAAAATACTTATAAAACGCGTAAGTCAACGAAGTTCCCTGAAAAGTTACTCGTATGGGATGTTTACATCAAATAATTAATGGATGCAAGATATATATTTGAATGTATATAATTATTAATTATTCGTGATTAATTGATTGACGTACATAATTACTGTATCAAATCACTTAATCGTTATAAATTGTATTAATTTGATGTAAGCATTATATGTGAATAAGTATTTATGTTATTAAATTATCATCTTTATATATTTGATAAGAACCATGAGTGAAAGGCAAAACAACGGGGTTAATATCTTAAAAGGTCACTCAACTTTCACAATTTATCTGACAAAGTCATTAAACTTTATTTTATATCAATAAAATCACTTAACTAGATTTGTCATTAAAACAAATCTGGCCTAGCAAATGACAACTGCGACTACTACTGCCTTCTCCTTGTTGTTCTATTTCTTATTGATTCATTTTCATTGGCTTATAACAAGAACGGTGTTAATGGTTCAATACATGATGATTATAACATGATAATATAGAGAATAAGAACAGTTATTAATCCAACATCAAGAGTGGGCAAAGAGCAAAAGATAGCTACGGAAATGGCAGCATGATGACTTCTATATTAAATTAGAACTCAATCAATGAAATTTATTATGACAAACTGACTCCTCCAAAATTAATCACGGGAGATTTAGTCAGCAAAGATTATCATAATTAACATATAAAAGCATAATCAATTTAGATGGTCATTTAAATAAATAAAAAATAAGAGAGCTTCAACGAACCATTAAATTAGAAAATGAGAAGATTAAGTTAATGATTGAACCTTAATGAGTTTTAACAGAAACGTTTTAGTTCTAATTACTTGAAACGAGAGCAGAGCTAAGATCAGAGACCTCAAATAGATGACGTCAGTAACTCAGTGCTCTGTTTTGGCCATTATAACTTGAGCAAGAGCACAACATTTTCATTGACTTCTTAATGAGTTTTCTTTAATTTTATTTATTTTTTAGCTTCATATTACATGACATAAAAAAATTATTTTGTCTACTTCATTCATGTCATTGCTGCATCTTCTCTTTAGAAATTTCTTGAAGAGACATATTTTTATTGATAAATCTAGTTGGATGATTTTATGATATAAAGGCCTAAATTAAGTGATTTTATTGATACAAAATAAAATTTAATGACTTTATTAGATAAATTGTGAAAGTTGAGTGACATTTTAAGATATTAACTCGCAAAACAACCAGTAATTGAGAATTTGAGAGAAACAAAACAAATTTATTTCAAAAGGCTTTTTCTCCATTGTCCTAATTTGAGGGAAACAAAGTAATACATCTTAAAATTACGGGTCGTTTCAAGTTTAAACCGATCCTTGGTCACTCCTTAGCACGATCTTGCTTGATCTTATTAAAGGAGAAAGTAAGCAAATCAAGGTTTTATGTACTTCCGTCATGGAAGGTCCAGGCAAGGGGGGCAGCTGGGAGGCCGGATCCACATGACCCCAGTTGGTTGCCGAATATAACTTGGATATGAGGGTGACCTTTAATTGGACCTCGAGGATAGACTTAAACTTGAAACTGCCTAAGAATCAAAGAGGAGATCTTGGTTGTATCCTAACTCAAGGCAAACTATCTCTAGATGACAAAGTGAAAAGTCGAATCGATTTGCACATTCCTATATTCCTTCCTTCCTCTTAACTAATGTCTCGGGTTCAAGTTCTTGCTATAGAGTTGTTTTTTACTGAAGTTGACGATCCAAAATAGGCGAATAATGCAAAGGATAAACAACTCGACAAGTTGGACAAGTGTTTTTCTTCGATAGCCATGGCAATAGACACTTTATATGGTCATTTAAATAAAAAAAATAAATAAGAGAGCTTCAACGAAACATTAAATTAGAAAATGAGAAGATTAAGTTAATGATTGAACCTTAATGAGTTTTAACAGAAACGTTTTAGTTCTAATTACTTGAAACGAGAGCAGAGCTAAGATCAGAGACCTCAAATAGATGACGTCAGTACTAGTGACGGATTCAGGATTTGATGGTTGTGGATGCTCAAGCTAAAATATTTTTTTTTCTTTGTAGA